CCTAGCCAGGAGCATGGGATGAGTTTCCATTTGTTAGTGTCCTCTTTAATTTCTCTTAAGAGTGTCTTATAGTTTTCAGGGTACAGGTCTTTCACTTCCTTGGTTAGGTATATTCCTAGGTATTTTATTCTTTTTGATGCTATTGTGAATGGAATTGTTTTCCTGATTTCTCTTTCTATTAGTTCATTGGTAGTGTATAGGAAAGCCACAGATTTCTGTGTGTTAATTTTATATCCTGCAACTTTGCTATATTCCGATATTAGTTCTAGTAGTTGGAGTCTTTCGGGTTTTTTATGTACAATATCATGTCATCTGCAAATAGTGACAGTTTAACATCTTCTTTACCAATGTGGATTCCTTGTATTTCTTTGTTTTGTCTAATTGCCGTGGCTAGGACCTCCAGTACTATCACAACAAGTTTTTGACAACAAGGTCCATAATGCTCCTCCCGGTGCTAGCAAGCCACACCAGGAATGCAGATTGACATCCCCAAAATATCTGTCTGGCTAGGGAATGGGGGTTTGTAGGTGGTAAAGAAAGCTGCTTCCTTAGTGAAATATAGCAGCCTCTTTTTCAGTAAAGGCACCTCTGGGTATTTTGTTTGTTTTAGATTCCAGAGTTCTAAAAGGTTGATTCTTTTTTGTCAGCTTTATGGTTGCTTCAGTGGAAGAACTGATTCTTAGAGCTCTCTGTTCTGCCATTTCTGTGATGTCACTCCCCACTCTAATGTTTTTTATTTGTTTTAAGTAGCAGTATATTCCATAAAATTTCTGAGGGTCAGGAATCAGGGTTAGCTGCGTGATTCTGGCTCACGGTCCCTCATGAGTTTACATTCAAACTAGTTGGCCAGGGTTGCAGTCATCTCTTCTTGTATGAGAAAAAAATGTGAACCCTGGGTAAATACTTAGTGGAGAAGAATTTGTTTGCCCTTCCCTGGAGACATCACCATTATGTGCTTTACTCAGCCTTAGAGATGGAAGTAAGAGACCCCAAGGAACTTCACACTACTATGGAAAAGAGCAGCAAATTCTTGTAGTCAGTCTTCTCTTCTCCCTTCTTCCTCAGACTCCTGTCCTTCTGCATTCAGAAAACTGTGAAAATAAGCTTTCAGGACACCCAGAACCTTAAATATACACTACAAATAACTTTTCCATTATGTTCCTTTGGTTGTTTTATGGAGAAGATGTGTTCTTTTGGTTACAAAATGTGTGTGCATGGGAGAGGCACAGTATGAGTGATTCTTCTGTCTTCTGGTAAAGTCATAGCCCCAACTCAGAAGATGAACATCTCTTTATCATATATACCTGCTCTACATGAGGCACTGTATATTAGGCAAAGAGGGGCACAGAAAAGGTATAGAACAATCTCTGCTCTCGAGTACTTATTATAGTATAAAGGAGGAAATATGACAGGACACTGGTAAAAAAATATGTATGTGTGTGTGTATATATATATATATATATGTAAGGCAGCATTTGTGCCCCAGAATAGTGGCTGCCACAGTATTAGTAAGGCAGATACTTAACACTGTCCTTAAGTAATAATATGAAAAGCAGAAGGAAAATACGAATATAGCCAGGAAAGAAAGTGAAAGATCTTTGTAATTTTTTAGTTTTTCAGATTTGGTAAATATTTTTCAACATAGTCACTTTCAAGAATTTTGTATATCCTGCCTGTAGGACCAAAGTCTTTCATTTGGCTCCTTACTCAACAATAATCAGACAGTTTCATTCTCATTTATTTAATTATTGATTACCATACAAAAGACCATTATCATCTGCATTTATTTTAATTTGAAAAAGCAATTAGGTTTGTATTTACAGTTTTATACCTACTGTTCTAATATCATTTCAGTGTTTACAGAGGGGTTCATAAATGAATTAGCCATTGGGTCATGATGAGACTAGTAATACAAACCCAGTCTACCAATTTGCTCACTGCCATTTGTGTTTAAAGATGGTAATGCTACTGGCGTTTCTTTTGTTTGAATGGGTATATCTGGAAGACAAGGTTGGGGATAATCACGATGTCAGCCTCTTGGCAAGGTGACCTTTCCTTGGCAATAGCATCGCTCCTCTAATAGATGATACAGGCAGGTTTTTAATACTGCAAGTGAGGGAGGGTAGTTCTGCAACTTCTCTTAGGTTATGATTATAATTGTTCTGAAATAAAAGAATGTGTATGTAAGTTTTTCTTTTTCATACTGTTCAGATATTAAGCACACTGGACTGGAGCTTGACCCATACGTAGCAAGAACAAACTTTCTTCTGTGAAAGTGTCTCTACTTCCTAAAATACATTGAAATCAGAGTAGCAGCCTATACTTTATTTTTATACACAAGATTTAAATTGTGGATTTTTCTTTTTGTGTAAGTTAGACTGTTGTATTTATAGTTTCATATCTACTTTAGTTGTGCAATTTAATCACGTCAGTTGGAAGCTTACATTTTACTTTTTCCCCTTCCAAAATGAAATCCACATTACCTTCTTTATTATGTTTACAATTTGAATATATTCTTTACTTTCTTGTTGGCTACAAACACTGTTTTCATGCTTTTAATAAAAAGTGAATTCTAAATTTTCGTTTAATTTTCCTCTCCTAGACAATTAAATCCCATACAGAAACTGATGAGAAACAAGCAGAGAACCGCACCATCACTCCACCTGCTGCACCGAAACCAAAACGGGAGGAGAACCCTCAGGTAGGCCCAGCCCTCCAAAGTCATGGCTTGGTCTGTGAAATATGACTTATTCCCACATACCAGGAAAGGTACTTACTTTCTGAATTGCTTGATTTTCCTTTTCTTTTCTTTTTCACTATTTAGTAATGATATTTTCAACTCAGGTTGGCCCAGGGCAGATTTAAGTCCATGAGCTGTCATAATGGGTATTTCATACACATGTTACACATTTGAAATAATAAGATTAATGATCATTTTTCCAGTTATTCCATTGCATTCCTCATGACCATTATGTTTGTTTGTCTCAGTGAACAAAGATAAGATGTCCAGTTCACTCAGCCAGGGTCTGTTTAGCTATCAATTATAGTTGTTACATGTGCATTTTTTGTTGTTACCATAGTATTACATTAGACCCCCAAATCTCAAACGAATAAATAGCTCAGAAGTAGTTCATTGAAACATAAGAGTAAGGATGAAAATAGTAACATCTAAAGTACAACTTGGGGTAGAATTATGAACTATTTTAAATAGCAAACAAGACTCTGGTACAAATATAGAATGTCAATTTGTATATCCTTAGAAAAGGGAATTTTTTAGTTAGATGCTTTTGCACAAGAAGCTATAAAAAGAAAAATATGGACAAGGAACACGATGACTACCTAATAGTTGGATTCTATTAGACTAGCAGTCCGTTTCCTTCTGTCTTCAGTGCCCTCCTTACTATGAGACCATGTCAGGTATGGTGGCATGAAGCCATCAAAGCTTCATGTCATTTTTTATTTTAAGTAGTGATTTTTTAAGCCAGATCAGGTTTTTCTAAAACTACAAATTTTAATTTTTTCTGATATGAAGTAGATTAATTTTTAGTTCATCTTTAAAGAAGGGACCAAAACTTGAACTGAAAAGGAGTACCACTCATGCAAATTGCTGAGAAACTTATAAAATCATCCACAAAATTAATGACAAATATTAATGCTTAGAGGAGGAAAAATATAACAAGCTATTAGCAGAATTTCCTTATCAAAAGAAACTGAAGGATATTTTATGACAGTGGCACCATGTAGGCCAACAAGTGCCACCATGTGTAGTCGCAGATATTTCACCTAGTTGGATGGAACCATTCCCACAAAAAGAATAAATCAGTTTTGGCATACATGTGATACATTGATAACGCAAAAATTCTCAACAACTTTTTACTGTTTATCACTAAAATTCTTTTCCACAGGAAAGGAGCCTTTTTTTCATTTAGTAATTCTTTTGTGTGTTGGATCTATACTGGCAAAAATAAGTTGGATATGAGTGACCAGGAAGGGTGCTGTCACTTGACTGAGAGAAGGTGCATCTGAATGGCAGTCCATACACTGCTTTATTAACAGAGAACAGTTGGAAAACAACCTTCTAATCTTGATTAAGTTTTGAAGGAGTGGTGAGAATTAGGTATGTAGTTAACTGGCAGCCACAAGCTGTGTGCCACCTCAGTGTGCAGCATGGGAATGGGCTGCGAGTCCAAGGCCTCCTCTCCTTAGGGGGGGTCCCCCCGCCTCAGTGAGCCCCCTGCCCTGGGGAGTACCCTGGTTGTTGGGGGCAGGTCCCATGTAGGTTTTGAAATAAGAAGTAAAAACATTTCTTTAGGACTCTGTGGATACCAGTAAAGGATATTCTTTGTTCTCAGGTGGCTTGTTCAAGGACTGTATCATCTTCATAAAACACTCAATATCTTCAATACTTGAACCTATCACCTCAGGCAAAATATCTTGATATTTAATGTTGAGGGTAAAATGTCAAGGTTTTTAAAGACCAAACCATGGTATAAATAATTATACAGGCATATGTCTTCTCACAATTGGATTCTTTATTCACTGGCAAGACAAATTGATGACATATTATTTGGCATGTTTAGCAACTGCATGCAGTGGTACAGCAAAAAATGAAGACATTCTTTCTAGACCACATGTCACCAAAGAGCAATAATAGGAATCAATCTGTTGCACTTTCCAATTTTAAGCATCTTTGGAGTATAATACTTTAATATAGCTTCTGACTGAGCCCTGAGAGTGGTCTTCAGAGAGAAATTGCTCTGTAATTTTTAGGTATGTGATTGAAAAACTCATACTTTAAGCCAAACTGCCTGCTGTCAGTCCTAAAACTCATTTAGCTTTGAGTTAGCCTTGTCCAACCAGTGGTAGTAAAAATTCCTTACATTTTCACTGACCTCTTATATGACAAGTGAAGTACTTAGAATTGGAGCTTATAAGGGGGGCTGTTTAACTCTGTATGTTTTTTGAGTATGAAATCCTCTACCCTGTAGGATGATTTTTCAAAAAAAAAAAAAAACTTAGGTCACTTGTGATGCTGATTTCTGGCATAGAGAAAGTAGAAAATGCAGCCCCCAGTCCTTCTCCTTTGATCCCTACAAGACCAGAAAGCCTCCAGTTGTTAAGACCTGAACCTGGCCTCCTTCAAAGAGCTCATTGGGCTGGCTTTCCTGCCGTGTATAATAAGGAACATGCTGTGGGCTTTGTGAGAACCTAGACTGAAGTATATTCTTTTGTTTCTCTGGCAGAAACTTGCCTTCATGGTGTCTCTAGGATTGGTGACACATGACCATCTAGAAGGTAAGAGAAGATATTCATGGTGCTGCCTTGCTTCTGACCCAGAGCTTTGTCCTTGAAAATGGTGTTGGATTTATTGCTAGAATAGAACATTGAAATGCAAATAGAGCATGGTTCAGCTAGTGTGCACTTTATTTCTTTTGGAGTAATACTTGCCTTCCCTCTATCCAATGTTCAGCCTCTCCCCTTCCTATCATTATTTATCCACATTGCTGTCCAGAGGAAACTCCACAGTTGCCTATACTAAGGGGACTTCTATTCCCTTAGAAGAACTCTTTTTTTTTTTTTTTTTTACCTGATGCCACAAAGTAGCAAATGCCCCTCTGACAAGTCTTTTATTTTCCAGTCATTCTAGGTTATCAGAAGCTTGAGAACAGTTACAAAGCTACACCTGTCCTAGCTATGTAATTCAAGAATGGTGACCTATGGTTACTCAGTCTAGGTCTATGAGTAAAGTTCATTCACACCTATATTACAGTGATCTAAAAGTAAACCAGGGCAGCTTATTTGCAAGTGTTGTTTACTATTAAGCTCTTGATCACAGAGAGCCACATTGTGGCACTGCCTGGTCTTGCTTTCTGAGAGGTGACAGTGGGTGGTCCTACATATTTGCTCCCATCAGTGTGCTTGCATTTGCTGAATCTGCAGTAAAACAGAGAGACTTGCCCCTGTTTCTAATTTGTCATGGGGAAACAATGAAGTAGATAAACAGTGAAGTTAAGTTTTTAAGGTTCTGCATGCCTTTCTTCTAATCCAAACCTTTTGCTTCTCCAAGAAATCCAAAGCAAGAGGCAAGAACGAAAACGAAGAACAACAGCAAATCCTGTATACAGTGGAGCGGTCTTTGAGCCAGAGGTATTCCTGGCCAGCACTTGGTCCTTCCTTTGCTGGTCTAGTTTTATTTGTGACTTTACTCAGCACTTTCCTCCTGAAAACTTGCTTAAGAGCAGTACTCTAATTGTACTTGGCCAGTTTTGTAAGATGATGGATTTTTCTCTGCCCAATCACTTCATTTAATTTTTACTATTTGCTGCTTTCCTATAAGTTTGAGTAGATACAAACCTACCTTCAAAATGTAACCATCCTGGGGGTGGGTGGAGCCAAGATGACGGCATGAGTAGAGCAGTGGAAATCTCCTCCCAAAAACATACATATTTTTGAAAATAAAACAAATACAACTATTCCGAAAAGAGAGACCAGAAGATACAGGACAACAGCCAGACTACATCTACACCTGTGAGAACCCAGCACCTCGCAAAGAGGGTAAGATACAAGCCGCGGCCCGGCAGGACCCGAGCACCCCTCACCCCAGCTCCTGGCAGGAGGAGAGAAGTCGGAACGGGGAGGGAGAGGGAGCCCAGGACTGCTAAACACCCAACCCTAGACATCCGCACCATTGCGCAGACACACAGTGCATGGAGTACTGGATACTAGGGGAATGGGGCAGTAAAATCTGCGAGCAGGTCCCCGCAGCCGGCGCTCCTGGGACAAAGAAAAGCGAGTGCCCTTTGAAAGTCTTAAAGGGACAGGGACCTCACAGCTGGACGGAGGCGTCCCAGCGCAATCAGCGCAGGAGCTGGGAATGTGAGGAACTCCAGGCACCCTAAGCCCCTGGGCAGCAGCACAGCTCCAAGGCCCCTCACGGAGATAAACAGCCTCCCGCCCATTCCCACTCCGGCGCGACCTCACCATAGCGGAGCCCACGGCAACCATGCACGGAGCCTCCTTCACAGCGGCCGTGCAAGAATCAGAGACCCCATCTGTACACAGCTGCCCAGCACAAGCCGCTAGAGGTCTCTGTTCTCCCGGGAGAGGAAGGCCACAAACTAGCAAGGATGGACGTTTTCCCAGCTGACACGTGGTAACTAACCCATGGCTGTCTCTATCGCCATGAAAAGGCAGAAGAATTTGATACAGACCAGATTAACCCACACAGTCTCCCCTGAAAAGAAATCTGAGGAGATAGACCTAACCAATCTTCCTGAAAAAGAATTTAAAAGTAAGGTCATAACCATGCTGATGGACTTACAGAGAAATATGCAAGAGCTAAAAAGGGAGAATACAGAAATAAAACAATCTCTGGAAGGATTTAAAAGCAGAATGGATGAGATGCAAGA